GAAACTTCTTTTTCTTAAATAATAATTTATATTAACACAGTGCGATGTTTTTAATGATTCTAAGTGATTTTTTAAAAATTTTTAAAAATGACTTACGTTATCTGGACTCATACTCTTTTGCAAGTTCACCAAATGAATGTAAAAAAAAGAAGGGAAGGATGTTTATTATATATTTGATACAAGAAAGAAAGGTGTATCGTGGAAAGAAAGGTGTAACGACGAAACACCTCTAATCATGCTAATGTTTTTCGTTCGATGTTTTATATTACGAAAATATGTAATGAAGGCATGGTTTCTTCTTCTATAGTTCCTTCATGACAAACAACGCGTCATTTTACTGCTCAATCTTCTTTTTTTCTCTTTTGTGTTACGGAAATTATTTAAGAAAATCGCCACGTCGCTCCTTGATTCATTGAATTGAACTTTTCATTGATCAATATGATTACGATTGACTCTGATCACTCTTAACACAATAGAAACGACAGGTTTCTAAATCTTTAGAACATCATCTCGAAGAAATTGAATTATCGTTACACTATTCACATTATATCGAGAAATATCTAGTTTTACTTTAACATTGTACTAAAAGATAATTTCGTAGAAGTTTGAATTGAAGTATCATAATATTCTTTATATGAAGATTACTGGAGACTTCTTATTTCTTCGACAGATTTTAAAATTCAGTACATCGTCGATCGATCTTCTTACATTTTCCTTCTTTTCAAAATTTTCGAAATACTGCTTGTTTCAATCTCGCACGAAATGTTCATTTCCGATGTTACGTAAAAGTATCGTCTGTTCAGTCACAAAGTGAGTGTTAAGAGTCATAAAATTGTGTCAGAAAATCAACAAACGTCTTCCCCTTGTGATCTTCGTACATATCGCTCGTGCAATTGTTCTTTTTTTTTTTCTTCTCTCTACATATTCGACATAGAGATAATTAACAATTGATCTTTGAACAAGTTTCGCCGCAGGGAAAAGAGCGCAACGTCGCCTCAGACTGATAACAACAATCAGACTTTTGCATACTTTTATTAGAAGAATGTTAAAATAAAAGTTAAAATAAAAGAAAAAAAAAAATTGAAAAATATATATATATATATGTATGTGTATGTGTATGTGTATACGTACAACAAGAAACAGGTTGTAGCCGATGTAAACGATCAGTTCGGTTTTTAATCCCTTTTCCTTTTTTTTCTTTTTTCTTTTTTTTTTTCTCCTTCCGCCATTGTACGTTTCACGCCGAGAATCGAACTTTCAATCTCGTTTGTTTGTTATTTTTGGATGATGTTGTCTCTTGTTGTAGTTTGGCTATGGTATCTCGGCGTTTATTGTTCATCGTATTGTCGAAGTGTGGCGTGGGTGGTCGCGTTTGAGGGTTCTAAATGGGGTGTAGCGGAATAATTGCGACGAAGCATGGAGCGAGTGTTGATGGAGGAATGAGAAAAGTATCTATACATATAAATAGACGTACATGATATATCTGTAACACATGTTCTATATGTTATTAAGACAATAAATGGAAAACCGATCGACGGCCTCTTCTTCTGCCCTTCCGTTGAGTCCATCATTGCGAATGGTGAATTTTAAGTAGAACTTTCCAATTTGTAGAATTTAGGTCACCGTAATTTGGTTCGACTGGAACATTTATTTGTGTCTCTCTCTGTATGTACGTGCAAAGAAAATTTATAATTATTCCCAATCATTCTAAAACGTGAAAATGCAAATTGGACGTGGACAAATTAGATCTCTGTGTCGTTGTTCTTCAATTTATATATTTTTCGACAGTACTGTAGTAACAATCGGAGCAAAGAAACGATCGATTAAATATCTCGAAAATTCTTATTCGCTCTTATTACAGAGAAATTATTTATTAAATAATTATTTATATTTCACTCTGTGTTTGAATTCAATAAATTTTGAGCGAGTCAACGAGACTCTGTCGATACGTGTGTATTATACATGTTTCAAGAACGAATTATATAACTTGACGAACGCACGTTATTATCAAATTCAGCTGACGTCGCGATTATTTATTATTAGAAGCTTCTATTCGATATATTTTGTGTTTAAGGCAATTATTGAGTGAAAATGGCGCAACACTGACGCGAAACTTATTTTTACGAGTGAAGCAAATTCGAGAATTATTTTATCGATAGGTGTGACCTCTCTCTGGCAATCTGAGGTTACTTTAAACCTTAAAGTTTATCACGTGGGTTGTAGATAAAACGAGGTAACTTGCGATTCCATGAATCTTACGATATCTGCAATGTTTTTCTTCGCGGTGCAATTATCATTCATTTTTTTCTTTCCTCTTTTCTTCGCGCCGTCTAAAAATTTTAAGGAAATATAGTTTGTAGAAGTACGTATATGTCAACGATCGAAGGGACTATTGTAAACATTATAAATTTATAGAAAAGTAACTTAAAAGAGAACTAATTCTAATTTTAACCATTATATAGTACTAAATGCCACAATTTCTAACGATGGTTGATCATAATTTTGTCGAGTGTTTTAATTCTGAAGTAATTCTGAAATAACGTTATTTAACGTCACTGGTTCGCCAGTTTTCACTTTCATATTTTTAAATTATAAATTTCAACACGCTGTGTGTGTTCTTTTTTTTTTTTTACTCTGAATTACGTACATCAATAAAAAGAAGGCGTCGTTCTATTTGTCTTGTCTGTGTACAAAGCAATAAATCGCATTACGAATTTTATCAATTCCCCATTGTAAGCCACAGAATGACCGAGCAGACGGTTGAAAATAATTGAACTGCACCTTCCGGCTAGGCCAAGATTCCACGTGTATTTTTAGAGCTACTTTCGGCGGTGCCAAGTTTAGCTCGTGTATCGTGTTTGTCATTGTTCTGCATTGCACAAGCGCCTTTTAAAAAACTTAATCTATATCCGGTGGTGCAAACGATACGAACAATGTCGGGTAGTGAATTCGATATGTTTTCCAATGTGAGGTTTTAATCGCAGACGTAATTTTTTGGTAATCTGACCTGACACTATTATCGTCGATTGTATTGCAATCTCTCTCTCTCTCTCTTTTCTTTTTTTTTTGGCAATAAATTATTCACTGGGGACCCTTGGTCACGCAGAAAAATCGCGTGCCTTGTCGCGAAGATGTACACATCATGCTGTGTACGATATTTTTCGAGAAATTAGGAAATTAGGAAATATTCTTTTAAAGCGAGATTAATTTTAAAGGGGTAGATTAAACTTCGAAATTTGTTACAAGGGATTCGTTTCACTTTAATTGTTTGGTCATTCGTCGTTTAAAAGTTTCCTTTCTTGCTGTTATGTTGTATTACAGTATGTTGTATATTGTATTTTATCAATCGAGCAACACGTTCGAAACTTTGATGTTGCTTGGAACAATGTTACAGTAGATAAAAAAAGATATTCTGGTGAGAAATGAACGTGTGAATTATTATATGTAATATAATTATACGCAAGTAATTGGTAGTCTTGAAATAATTTTTTATCAATCTCGCGGTTACAAAACGTCGCAAGTTCATCTTCGTATTTCACTTCGTGTTACATTTCGTACAAAAGAAGCTCTGGGATTAGCTTTCAACCCTTTTTAATCACACATTTGGTTTCCAGCACATTTGCTGCTACTGATTCGCACGTCTGTTTAATAATTTAATTTCAACAACTTCGGCAATTGCTTTCTTATTTCCTTTACTTCATACGTGCATCCTTTTGAAACAACTTTATTACGTAAACCGAAAATATTATTTCTCACAGAGGAGAAATTATACATGTTGTATTTCAGGAGCAACGAACGTGCCAGGTTGATTCAGGTGGAGCGAGAAAAGAAAGAAAGAAAACAGATCACGCTTGAAAATGGCAGCTGTTTATTACAAAAAAAAAAAAAGAGAAAGAGAGAAGAAGTCTGAAAACAGTGGACATTAAAAAAAAAAAAGACGGCTTAAGTCGACGATTGAAAACAAAAAAACAAAAAAAGAAAAAAAAAAGAAGAAACGCCTGGAAAGCAATACCAACTAACGATTACCCTGTGTGTGCTTCTGTCGTTGCGAGTAATTACGTTATCCGTCTCGATAAATAGCAAATCTATCTCTGCCTTTCTTGTCAGTCTTTGCAACTCGTTCGTCGAATGAATTATCAAAGAGGAAGAGGAAGAAGAAGAAAAAAAAAAAAAAAAAAAAAAAAAAAAGAAAAAAAAAAAAAAA